TCAGCGAGTAGGCTGTGTGTCAAACAATAGAATCAACCGTAAGTCAGCGAGGAGGCTGTGTGTTGAGCTATAAATAACCTATTAAATAGGAAACTCGGATTGCACGCTCGCAATATTTATTTTTTGACACATTCTTATGTTTTTCAATAATTTATATATGAATTTTATACCCATAATCCAGGACTGCTGGTTAAATAACAGGAAACTGACAAATTTAACAGCTCATATTTTCATAAGTAAATATAATATTTCACATTTGTTTAACATAGTTGGATATAAAAGATAATATATGTAACATAATAAATGCGTGACTTTTTGTGGGGGGCAAAAAAATTGACCAAATTAATTTTAATATGAAACAAGTATTTGAATGTTGAACTTGAATGAGTCAGTGAGCTTGTACAGATCAAATCACACAAAAAAGGTTTTTACAAATTTGGGAATTTAATACTGAACAAAAAAAAAAAATAATCACAATTAAAAATTTTAATTCAATTTATTTAGTCCGTTACTGTTAATTTTTCTTAATCTTTTGTATTCACTTACAGCATCTTTTGAACATTTAACCTGAGAATAATCAAATTTTAAGATCTGAAGCTTGTCCAGCGAATTCACTCTACTCAAAGCAACATTTTTTTTCAGTCAGTTGCCACATTTCCTAATAAAAATGACAAAAGCAGATTAATTGATAAAAAACTTAAAATAAAATAAAATAAAAAAAGGAATAAATTCATGTGTGTCCCAAATGTTTCTAATTAGTACTAAAAGATTTACTAATTCCTAAAACAACTAAATCTGTTTGATATGTTGTATGTGAAATTGAAATTGAAATTTTATTAATTAACAAATAAATAATAATTAATTCACCATATCTGACCAGATGCTACTTCATTATTGAAATTTGATATATTCTTTGTAAGAGGTGGTGCATTGCATACCCCCCAGGAATATATAGATAAGGTTATATCCTTTTAGCATAATGGAAGTTTGTTTTGATTGGCCCAATATTTATGATTGACATGTCCGAAAATTGAAGAATTAGCTGATAGTATTAGTGTTGGTATTTGCTTCATTACATATGTTGATAAATAAATAACAAATAGATAAATAATAATCAAATTATGCTTTGTCAATTATTTCATAAAAGAATTATTGTATTTTATTAAACACACCTAGACAGAAGATTTTGGATACCTATTTCTATGTTTATGTTAATTACTCTGACACATACACATTAATTAAATAAAAAAATTTAAAAACATACTTCTGGTACATCTAGGTGTTCAATAATTATGGTTAAATTTTAAATTACAAATTGATATAAATTTTTATATAATTATTATGAGTAATTAATGTAAATAAGTTACCTGAAACTTTTATCTAGGAGTGTGTGTATGACATACATGTGTTTTAAATAAATTTATATTTTAATTAATTTGAATTTATGCGTCTTTAAGTAAAAAAAGTTGAACTAAAATTGCATCCAATTTACAAGATGCATTAGATTATGTAGATAAATGGTAGCAAATTAATGATAACATATGTTTGAAAATTTATATTTTGTTAATTTACCTTTGAAATCAATAGCTTCTTTGTTAAAAAATAAATATATACATGAATTAGTACAGTGCGTAACATCATAAGCCATCACATTAAAATGGACTAATTTTAAAACCTAAAAAGGAAATACTGAATGGTTATCTCAAAAAAATAAAGACGATATTTTATAGCTTTTGACCAGCTCTACAATCTATCATCGAGATAATAAAAAAAAATTGCTTGGTTCAGGAGCCTTAAGCTTTTAAAAATCATGTGATTTTTATATGTTACATATAAAATTTTCCAAATTTGATACATATAGTTTTGGCCTGAATTATTCTGCGCATTCCTAAATTTTCTAATTTTGGTAAAATCACGTGTTACACAAAATTAATGAGAAACGCGTTCTAATTCAGTGCAATTCTTTTTAATTATTTTGTGAAATAAAATGCCAAAACCTAAAAGAAAAATTAGGATGTGCAAAGAATTAGCAGCAGCAAAAAAGAAAAAAAAAGATAATGAAGAAGATTCTACAGTCCTTGAAATTTTTGAAAGTGCAGAGGAAAATGAAGAAAGCTCTACAGTTCTTGAAACCTTTGAAAATGCAGAGGAATTTGCAAATGTTGAAGATGAAGGTTTTTTGTGGTTTGACAGTGAAATAAATAAAAATGCTGACACAATCT